ACGCGCAGGTTTCCGTTTGTTCGCAGGGTGAATCGTGTGTGTAAACGGGTGTGTTCAGGTGTGGGGTCGTCAAACCGGTCCCTCAAACTTCTCCCGGCGAACGTTTCCTGACCGTTCAGCAGAGGTGGACGTCGGCCAGCAGGACATTCCGTCCGCCGTTGGGTCGACGATGACGTCGCCTCCGCGGTTGCCCCGGGAAACGTGGTTGTTTTGGTCCACACCAGTGCGGGTTACTGGGATTACTGGTCCGGACCGCCGCTCTACAGGTCGATTACGGACGCAGTGAAGACAGATTCATCCTCCGGGAACATCGAGTATCTGAATAACCACCTTCCATCCATCGACCCACTGAGCGGCTTTGACGCCGACTCCTTAGACACTAAACTTGACCCCATGTCAATCAAAACGTAACACACATCAAACACTATTCCCACAACAACGGGAGATGCGTGAAAAGAATAACAAATGACACTGAATCAACACGAAGCGGACGCCAGGGCGGCTGACAATGTGCCAGCGCGCCATCGATTCACTCCCCGGCTATTTCTGCGCTCGCCGTCTCCATATTTGAAAGTTGACGCTCTGAAGAGACGGACTCGTGCACAGACGCCGCCGCTTTTGTAGTCTGTGGCGGTTTTATACGATAAGCTTTTTTAGACGTTTAAAATCAATATGTAATCCTGTGCCGGGGGGGGGCGGGGGGGGCTAATCCCCCTGGACCGGCCATTTGTGAGGCTCTTTGAGCTTCGTTACAGGTTCTCCGTGCTGCAGATTGATTAGTGCCAGAATCCTATCAAATGGCTCGGCTCTGATGATGGAGAAAACTCTCTCGGCCGCCTCCAGTCGACTGGACCTGGAGATAAGGCCCGGGTGGAGATGCCCTCCCAGCACGGGGGAGGGCCGGGTGGGGGGGGGGGTGGGGAGCGTTTCTGACCTCTGCTCCTCCGAGGCTCACAACGGGATCAGGAGCTGTTTGGACGCCGTTGATTCGCATTTCGGGACGTTCAGCCGGCACTTATCCAAAGTCTTTAATCAGAAAAATAGACACTATAATAATGACATTGATCCAAAAGCTACCTGTACTTTGGAACGTGGACACGGGAACCGTCAATCTTCACTTGGGATCCGAGGGAAGTTGAGGAACCAAACTCAATCCGCTCTGATGTCTCCACTCATTTAAGCGGATCCGGTGATTTGCACTTTGGCGGCTTTGTCCCTTTGATGTCCGTCGGTGACTGTGGGAGACGCTAATGGTCGCTAACGGAGGTCAAACCGGAGGCCCACAGAGTTTACGTGTAACGGGTTCATTGCTTTTCAGTTTTGCTCCATTCATTTGTTTTATGTTGTCTCAAGTGTTTGAAGCGTGACGGCGGGAACACGCTCCAAATATGACGCATTTTGTTTTCTGAGCAACAAAGCGATTATCCAACGGGCCACAATCATGAGTGGTAACGAGCTTCTTCAGACCAACGCCATTGGTGACTTCAGGTCACGTGACACGAGTAGCTCTTAAGTTTCACACGTCGGCACATGTGGAGCTTTTAATGATCACAAGGCGCTCTGAGGTCACCAGGCTTTGATAATTGTCCTTTAAAAAAAAAAAAAAAGAAGCAGCCATTTTGCTCCCAGAAATCTGGGAAAATACTTTATCGCCTCCAATATTTTTCTCTGGGTTTTTTTTTTTTTGTAGTTGTTTGAGGGCGACGGGGAAACCGAATCTGTGCATTCCTGCGGGCCTCGCCGGCGCTCACATGGTTACCGCCGCCGCGCATTGTTAGAGATATCTGAATGAGCGCCGGCCGTGCAGTTTTAACGTGATTGCCCGAGGGGCAACAGAGTGAAAGAGCGAAGAACAGAGCCAGGGAGAGGAGAGGAGGGGGGGGGGGGGGCATAATCCTAAAAAGATTGGAGATTAAACCCCACACACACACACACACACACACACACACACACACACACACACACACCTCTGTTGTTCAGGGGGGTGATGGGTACTGGATGGGGTCAGTTTGTTTCGTGGCTGCGGTGTCTGATATTTTTCTCCCCCCCCGGCCCCCCAACCTCTTCTTCTTCTTCTTCATTGTTTGCCTTCTTAATGAGAGGGGCGGTGCCGCGGGGCCTGTGATTGACAGCTACGTGCTCCAGTCTGAGGCCGTACTGTACTTGACACTGGGCGACGACTCGTTGCTCCTCGGGTGTCTGCTTCACAGCAGCCGTCTTTTAGAGCAATTATTACTAAATATGTTAAATATGGGTGACTGAGGGGACTCTGGCAGCACTGTGGAGACAGGGTTGGGGTTAGAAGGTTGATTGGCAGCTTGTTAAAGACCTAAATGAGCCATAAATGAACTACATTACGAAATGCAATTTAATGTTAGTGAAATCAGAATCAGAATTTAGCTCTGAACTTCTGCCGAAATCAAACCACAAATCAGAGGAAAAGATAAATATTGGTAATACAAGTATTTTTTTGTCTACCGGTGTGCGTTGATGTTGTTTTCCCCTCGTGTGTGTGTGTGTGTGTGTGTGTGTGTGTGTGCGTGTGCAGGTGAGATGACAACAGTCAGCTGAGCCTGTTTGTTATCTGCTCCGTCAGCCTCCGTCGGCTCCACCGAGACGAGTTCCTTCATCACAGAGATGTCGATGCACAGAGAACGTGGCGGAGGGTTAAAGCGACAGATCGCCTCCATAAATATCCTCCCAGAGAGAGAGAGAGAGAGAGAGAGAGAGCATCCACCTGCAGGCCCATGCAGCGGATACAAACCATTTCAGCATATTTCGCCTGGATGTCGCTGTTTGTATGAGCGAGAACTGCAGCTGCTTAAAGAGTTTACCACTAAAAGTAGTTGCACATTTTTATTTTCCACCAACCGCAAAAACCCATAAATTATGTGAAAGTTGGATTTTGTGCTCAAGGACGCAAACAAACACTTACTGTTTTTCTGCGTGAACATGGTATTCTCCTACTCTGAAGGTGAGTTATTATATTATACTGAAATTACCATTTTTAAAAGCCTGAAAATGGGCTTGCAGGGTCTGTGATGAAGAGGATGTTGCATCATCACACATTTAGGCTCATTTCCCTCTCTGCGTCACCTCCGAGGTCACGGTTTTTACTTTTTAAATAACGTTCAGGGTCTTTTCAGGCACACTTCTCCTTTTGTAGTTATTGTTTAAACAAGTTTCCATAAAATAACTGGTTGATAATCAGCTGTAGTGTCAATGTCTCCACTAAAAGTTGAACATCCTCCCAACTATAATTTGTATTTTGTCATTTTACTTTTGAAAAGTATTTTTAAAGTACACACACACACATATATATATATATATATATATATATATATATATATATATATATATATATATATATATATATTTTACTATTTCCATTGGAAATGACATCACTTCAAACAAGGAATATTTTCACTCAAACCCAATAGAACTTTTAATCGTTTTAACGCCACAATCTCTTCCTGAATACCCGGATGAAGGTGCGGTTTTCCTACCTGCAGCAGAGAGACGTGTTCTTCTTCGTTGGTCCTAATCCGAGTCCTGAGGCGTGTCCTGGTTCTGCTGGTCCGTGCGGGGTTTCCTTGTGTCCCTCCTCACCTGCCTGCTCAGCTGCTTTCCTTCGTGCAGCCAAACTCACTGTTGTCAGCTGATTTTAAAAGGCCTTTCCGGCCCGTTCTGTGTCTGCACGGCACGCTGTTTGTGTGTGTGTGTGTGTGTGTGTGTGTGTTTGATATAAAGTGCGCAGCAGCCTGGTCGCGCCTCGTGCAACACGCTCTCTGACAACGCCGGGATTTTATGCATCATGCTTTTAATAAGCGGCCAAAAACACAGACGAGAAGCCTCTGCAAACTTAACCCCCTCCACACACACACACACGCACACACACACACACGCGCGCGCACACACACACACACACACACACGGCTCTTTAGGCGGCCTGATCCCTGGATTTACGGGCTTAGTATTAAGAAAATACTCCTGCAATTTGGGATTAGACCCCCAAAAAACCCTCAGAACAACAATGCCTCCGTCCATTTGATATCTTGATACGTGTGATCAACGTAGCCGTCGACCTCACAGCCAATCACACGCAGAGGAAATGAGACGAATTAAACAATATCAACACAACCCGCTAATTGTTTTTCTTTTGAATTCGTCATCGTTTGGGGTGGAATTTAAGGCATTTGTTCCGAGGCCTTTAAGTTAAATGATGTACATTGATGTAGTCATTTATACCTTATGAAAGTTAACACCATGTATTTCTTCTATTATATTATTATAAAATTACCTTTATGTATTTTGATATCTGTCTGTGAAAAGACGTGTGAAAATTTATTTACAAATTGATATTCTTGAATTAATTTAAAGATAATTTAAGACCAATAGTTTATGACAGCAATAACTCTGCTTTAATCAACAGCTCTGTGAAATGACTGGGTTGCTTTCAAAAATATTTCTGGATTTAATCAGCTGCGGTAGGTCGTCATTCATGGACAAAAATATATCCTGTGGCCTTTCATAATATACATTAAAACACAAAATAATAAGGCCCACTACAAGGGTAACCCACCGGCCTTAATTGGCCATGAACTGATAAAAAAAACTACCAGGCTGAATGTTAGTTTTTTTGTTTTGTTTCAATGACAACATAGGAAAGAAACTCAAATTTACCATTTAACTTTGGTCTTTTCGTCAAAGGCCAAATGAAAATACTTTTACGTTAACATCGTTTTAAAAATAAGACAACACATTATGCTCTTTTTTTTCTCCATTACTACTCTTAAAAATGACTCGTTTGTCCTCAAATAAGCGGCCGCATCAAACATTTTCTCGCCGTGATGGCAGCCGGTCCGATTCCCCCTCCGGCTCTCTGACGCGGGCCGTCCCGTCCTGTCACGTGGTTCCTCGTGACGTCCGCTAGAGGCGGGCGCTCCGCCCCCCCCCCCCCGCCTCCGCGCCGCAGAGCCCTGTGATTGGCTCGCGGGACGCAGACCCGCATGCTTCCTTGACTCATAGAGGCGCGAGCCTCCGAGCACGAGCCTCAATCCGCGTCCGTCCACGCCGGCAGGAAGAGAGAGAGAGAGGGAGAGAGAGGGAGGGAGAGAAAGAGAGAGAGGGAGAGAGAGAGTCTCGACGTTATGGTGCCTTTCAGTTTATTTCTCTGCGTTGAAATGTTGATTTTCTAGTTACTGAATCAGGTTTCGCGCGGAGCAGCTTTGCCAGAGAACGAAAAACGATTGTTTTCTCCATGTGGATATTTCTCGAGCTCTGGATCTGAATGGTTTGATATTTAACAGGATTTAAGCAGAAAAATAAGCAGCAGCAGCAACGACAACAACCACAGGAGCCTGAAGAAGGTGAGACTCGTGCCTGTTTGTATTTCAATTAATTTTTGCCGTTTGTGAATCTAACAAACATTCCTGAAATGACAGCTGCGCTTTACATTTATTTGTAATTACCTGGTTTTATGAACATACACATATACTATTTCAAAGACTTCAAAAACTACTTAAAATATAATTAAAAATATGAGAAATAAATTCTAAAAATAATCGGTTTGTTTTGCCTCTGGGATCAAAATAAAAACGGCCCAAAAAAAGTTTACAAACACTTCATGAATTGAACTTATTAGTTTTCTTTCCCTTATGATGTGTACCTTTTTTTTAATCAGATGCCCTTCTCTGTATTTCCTCCTGCAGCTCCGCGGCCTCTCGTCCGCTTTCTGCGCCGATAAGAGACGCTCCGCTAATTGTCGCCCTGTAGATCTAATCTAAATTCTAATGGGCTTCATTTGCACACAGTTTTGACGCATTTACATTGCGTGTTTGGGCTCCTTCCTGCGGTTATGGAAATACGTAATGCTTTAAGGCCACAGTCCAGGTCCACCCGAGCATTTACCTGCTGAAAGGCCCCCGCTGGATTAAGGAAATCTTTATCTAAATACATTGCCTCACACTAGTAATAACAGTTCTTCATTAAGGCCGTTTATTAAAGCTGCAGTTAATGTTGGAATCTCTGCGGGGGGCAAAGTAAATCAAAGTAACAGGATATTTAATATTTCTTAATTCTGAGATTAATTTGTATTTATTACGTTGTTTTCATTCGATGAGTTTCTGCTTTAAACCAACTTCTTTGTACCCAATAATATTATTCAGCTGCTACTGAACTACTAATATGATGTTTCTTGGTTACATTTTTACGGCCTTTTCGCCAAGAAAAATAAAAATGAAAACAGTCGTGAATAATTAGTTAAGATCAAGGACGTGGGAAAAAAGTAGCTTTTAGTTAGCACGTGAATATTACGCTTATAATAAATAGTCCTTATAATAAATGGTCCAACACAGGAATAAAAAAGACATATTGTGACCAATAAATTGTTTTACTGAGAAAAAAATAAAGGAGGATTCAAAAAGTACCTCAGTAAAAAAAAAATAACTTAATGTCTTTGCACAGGCAGCGTGAACAAATCACTTCGCAGGGAATCTTTGATATCCGCAGGTGAGAATAAGTCTCAAGTGGCCTGTAAATTAAACGCGCGTCTTCACAGGTCGATTTAATTTCTGAGCTGTTGAATTAATGAAACCGTAATGAAGATCTGAGCGATAACGAGCCCATCTGCTCTCAGGGAGCCCCGATCGTTATTACGATTCGCGATAAATGAGAGTTTGTTTTGGGATATTTAATCATTTAACAAGCTGAAGTTATCTCGAGAACCACAAAGCGGAAGGTCGCGTGTCTCTTTATTTAATATTAATCAAACATCTGGGACTTTTTACCCCCCCCCCCCCCCTCCCAATCAAGTATTAGTGATTTTATTCTGGGCCTTCAGGTGCCTCCTATTCTCATGTTAAAGAGTTGAATGTTTAAAATAGGTTCTGCAGATCAGGTCTCCACGAAACGGCGTATGACTTGTTGAACGCATGTTTCCCCCATAATGAGGTTATTTTCCAAAAAGTCAGATCGGGTTTCCTCCTTTTCGTACGTGACTAAATTAAAGCCGATTTTATCATGTTGTGAAATCTCATTGTTCGCGATTTAGGAATTCAAGCATCTTTCTAAACGCCCAGAATGCAAAACACAAACGTTTTTTTATCTCCAATCAGATGGATAATTAACATCTCGGCGATTGCATAACAGCGTGAGAGTGTTTCTTCTGTTTCGCGGCTCTCATTGTTAAAACGCTTCCATTCAAATTAAATAGCCGTCTTCTAGCGTTTGGTTATATTACTAGAAAAGTTCGACTTTCTGATGCCGTTCGAATTTGTTGGCGTTTAAAGAAAGCAGCGTGGACACGTTAAAGCCCGCGGGGGTTTAATGGGCCTGCGCTCTGAAAAAGTTGCCTGTCTGCAGACAAAACCCCGTAAATTACGAGCTGCCGACTCCCGGTTCGACTCACGCCCCGTGCTTCTTCTCTCCCGCAGGATCCGACCTGAGCCCCGGGAGACCCGCGCCTCTCGTCCCGTCCCGGCCCCGCTCCCCGGCCCCGGTCTCCGGCCCGTCCCGGCCCCGGTCTCCGGCCCCGCGCCTCCAGCATGATGTCTTATCTCAAACAGGCCCCGTACGGGATGAACGGGCTGGGCCTGAGCGGAGCCGCCATGGACCTGCTGCACCCGTCCGTGGGGTACCCGGGTACGCAGCACCCCCCCCCCCCCGCCCGCGATGCGGGTATAAATTCATGCGCACATTTATTTATGCATTTATATTTCATGCGTTTTTTATTTGTTCACGTGCCGCAGAGTTTTATTTCTGACATTCACGCACAAGCTGCCGCAGCGCTCGCGGTGTCCGGTGTGAACTATCAAATGGAATCAAATGAATAATTCGGAAGTCCTAAAGGTGACCTAAACTTTAATAGGACGGGGGGGGGGGGGGGGGAAGTGTCCGCGCGGGATATTAGATTGTCTGCGCCCGTGGTGCATTTAACCCTGTAGTTACATGGTAGTTTGTACTTTGCGTGCTGTCGTCAGGTTACATGTTTTCTTGCTGACAAAAACGCAAGTTGTGGCCGTTTGAATTTTTCCAAAATATTTAATAAGCTAGAAAAAAAACACCTTTAAATACGCGAAGACACGAAGACACGTCGTGAGTTCAAATAAAATTATAAAAGACACTTTTGGGACTTTATTTCCAATTTACTTCTTGGACAACCTAATTAACAATTTCCATTTCTTCTTCTTCTTCTTCGTCCTCCAGGAAACCCGCGGAAGCAGCGCCGGGAGCGGACCACCTTCACCCGGACGCAGCTCGACATCCTGGAGTCGCTGTTTGCCAAGACGCGCTACCCGGACATCTTCATGAGGGAGGAGGTGGCGCTGAAGATCAACCTGCCCGAGTCCAGAGTGCAGGTGAGAGACACTCATGAAGCTGAAACGTGAACTCTGGGATCAGAGCTCGGTCTCCTCTCACTTTAATCTGAACCATGTGCATCAAATAACATCCTACTTGGTCACGTTTAGGGCTTAAGTGTGAAAGCTTTGTAAAGACTTTGGTGTGAGAATAAGCAGAGGAGTGCGAGAAATGTGTGAGTTCCCAGCAGAAGCACTCAGAGCTCCGGTTTCCTGGAGGCCGATTCTGTTACATCTCATTCATAACGGCGCCTGAGCTGCGGTTTCTTAAAGTTCTGCCCTCTGATGGACTTTCTGTTCTTCACCTCGGGCGCGATTAGCTCCAGTCTAAAAAGCAGGAGGAGAAGAAAAAAAAAAGTTGGAAAGCTCAAGCTGGTATGATCGAGTAGAGACAAGTCCCTAATGAAAGGGGAGCGTTTGTCTGGGCTCTGGATGCGGGGAGCTTTCTCTATAAAAGGCTGAGCGAGGTATTCCGGCTCCAGCGGCCCTCTGCTGGGCTGAAAGGCCTCATCATGGCCGCCGCCTCTCTGCTTTCTGCTGCTGACAGGCCGCTTTTACCACCCGAGGGTTTCGCTAATTCCCTTCTGACAGAGCCAGTTGTCAGAGTTTTTTGGGTGCAGGGGCTGTTGTTGTTTTTGGTGGAAGCGCGACGTTTGCTTGAAACGTTGCTGTTTTAGTCAAACTGCAAGTTTCAGCCGACGTTTGTTTCCCATTTAAAATTCTCGACACGCAGTTCGAGGGTATAAACTTTAGTTCACGTGCAAAACGTAATTATGACCGTTCAGCCGCTTATGTATTTATACATATAAATATCTATAAACACGCGTGTTTAAAGATGGTACCAAATGTCAGAAGTACTCTTATTACTTTATATGGAAAAAAACGCACAACCTTCGCACCCTTTTACTCAGATATTACTAATTACTAATACCATGAATCACTTACAAATATCACTATGTAGCCATTAGCTAATGGACGCTAAGTTACTGGACAGGTGGTGTTACTTTTGTGTGCAAAAATACAAAAGGATTTAAAGTGTCAGTTCACTGAAATCACATAACAATACATACAATATTTTATATTACATTACAGGTCATTTAGCTGACCCTTTTATCCAAAGCGACTTACTTTGCATTTTTAACCCATTGATTTTTAAATTTTGGCCCGGGGAGCAATTAGGGGTTATATATACAAAATATATAAAATATTTATATAGATGTATATATAGTGATGTTTCATCACAAATATAGATTTTATTTGATTTTGCCATATTTATTTATATATATGTAAGTGTAAGTGCAGATTATCCTCAGAGGTGCAGACAGAAACCTGAAAAAACTAGAAAGTGAGACATTTTTTCATCATTTACCGAAATGTTTTTTTCAGATTTTATTCTTCTTCCTCAAAGAAAACACACAGACTCACAAGCGCCGCACGTTCACTGTTTGTTGTTGGTGCTGTGATCCTTTAGCAGAGTCTCCATCCACAGAAAAGAGTCTCTCTTGAACTGTAGCCAGCAGCAAAGGTCAAAGGTCAGAGCCACAGCACCTCGGTGGGGCGACGTTAGAGTGAAGGTGTTTAGTTCCTGCCAGTTCTGTCCGGTCAGGCCTTTTTTCTCCGGGAGGATTCTGATCCAGCCACCCGTGACCTTGTGACCTCTCGTCCTTCCCCAGGTCTGGTTCAAGAACAGACGGGCCAAGTGTCGGCAGCAGCAGCAGAGCAGCAACAGCGCCAAGGCCAAGCCCATGAAGAAGAAGTCGTCCCCGGCGAGGGAGAGCACCGGCTCGGAGAGCAGCGGCCAGTTCTCCCCGCCGGCGGTGTCCAGCTCCACCTCCTCCAACTCCTCCGCCACGTCCTCCTCCTCCTCCGCGTCCTCCTCCGTCCCCTCCGGCCTCGGCGGGCCCGGTCTGATCAGCACCTCGGCCTCCGTCACCGCCCCGGTGTCGTCCATCTGGAGCCCGGCGCCCATCTCCCCGGCCCCGGCGCCGGCCGCGATGCCCGACCCCGCCGCCGCCCCCGGCAGCGGCGCCTCCTGCATGCAGCGCTCCGCGTCGTCCTCCGGCGCCGGGGGGACGCCCTCCTACCCGGTGTCGTACAGCCAGACGGCGGCGGCCTACGGCCAGGGTTACCCGGCCTCGGCTTCCGGCTCGTACTTCGGCGGCGTGGAGTGCGGCTCGTACCTGGCGCCCATGCACTCCCACCACCACCCGCACCACCCGCACCAGCTCAGCCCCATGACCGGCAGCGCCATGACGGGACACCCGCACCACCACATCGGCCAGGCGTCGGGGCACCACCACCACCACCACCACCCGTCGCACCACCACCAGGCGTACAGCGCGCCCGGCCTCGCCTTCAACTCCACGGATTGTCTGGATTACAAAGAGCAGACGGCGGCTTCGGCCTGGAAACTCAACTTCAACGCCTCCGACTGTTTGGACTACAAAGACCAGGCGTCGTGGCGCTTCCAAGTGCTGTGACCTCCCGCGGCTCTCTTCTTCTTCTCTGCGTACAAAGAAGTGTTCTTTTTCGTTGTTGGTGGTTTTATATCTGAAGATGCGTTTAAACTAATATTAGAGACGTTTTTAAGAAAGTTTATTTGTGAACGAACTGAAGCGACGCTCAGATAGGCGAAGGGCCTCGGGGGGGTTTCAGCTCCGTCGGCGTCAGCGGATCCACTCGTCCCGGGATTATTTTTCTACTCCAGAACTCGAGAGAAACCGACTCATTTACAACTCTGGGAGGCCTTTTTAACAGTAGAAGTTCAGTGGAACCTGCATAGATGTGCAGTACGGGATCGATCGGTTAACTTTGTTGTGATCGGGATTACGCTTCAAAGAAATAACATGAAAAAATAAATCATAAATTGGACTTTTGGTGGACTCTTCCCAGCAAACCTTTTTTTTGTGAAAAAACATGATGCTGCTATGATTTCCAGGATCGCTGATGTTCATTCCCATCTGATTTCAGACTTTACTCTTTCAGAAACTCGTCGTTTAGCCTGTGGGGTGTTGTATTTTGGAGATTGAATTGCAGCACTTGTTTATAAAGTGAAAGATTTTTTGCTATTTGTTCTTTACGGAGGAAAGAAAATTAAAAAATGTGAAATTTGACACGCAATGTCAGTATTCCATTGAAATTTGAAAGATGTACATTCGTGTCTTTATAATAAAGTCTTGTTAAAACATGAGCAGTCCGGAGGAAAGTTTATTTCGAAGTTTTTAACATTACTAAATCACAACAGTTTTAGGAAAATTATGCTGAATTGGTTTCACAGTGAGAACATGTTAATCATCATTAATTATAAACAGGAACCATCACCTGCAGCTCGTTATACTTGTAACGCTCGGATACACTTTTCCAACCTTTATTTATCTAAAGAATGATTGACTGAGAGCTTTATTTCTCATTCACACCGTGTTCACACACACACACTCACACCAGAAAGCCTCCCAGCAAAAACACTCTGTTTAATTCAATCTGCGCCTTTCGACGTTTCTACGTCCGTGACGGAGACTCCAAACATGGAGGCGGCTGTCGTAGCTCATTAGCTGCTTCTCACATTTAGTTTAACTTTATATAAACAGTTTCAAAACAGATACAGAAATGAGACAAGAGTCTGTGATTAATAGGGGATATCTTTTGAATAAAATGTGTAAACACATTGTCCTGTTAGCTAGCAAGCTAACGGACCTCAGCGAGAGTTAGCTAAGTGAAATCCCTTTTTTAATCCCTTTCTTCACTTAATGTTTGCTGAATATTATGTTGAGCAATATGTAAACGGTTTAACACGGAGGAAACAGAAGGAGGCTCGAAGAGACATTGAGACTTAATGTCAAGCTTGCTGGTGTCTTATCTGTTAGCTCATCAGCTAAACTAGCACGCCAGCTAGCCCTACGAGTCCCCGCCTGCGTTACTCCCAAAGTCACATCTATTTGGTCGTTTTCTGGTTCAGCAACAACGTTGTTTTTGTTTAAAACAACCTATTTTTATGTTTTCCTTAAAAAATAAACCACACAACCCCTCTGGACGAAAGTCATTTCACTCACAACAAGGTTTTATTGCTTTTATAAGATCCAAAAAATATTATCAAAGATGTATCGAAAAATTGATTTCACGTCCGTGACGTCTGTCAATGTTGAAATCTCAGGAATATGAATGAAAATTATCACTGCGCGGTATTTTTACTCTGAATTCAGAGTAAAAATTATAAAGAATTATAAAAAAACGACTATTAGCCGTAAAAAGTCCTCGGCTCACAGAGAGCGAAGGCAGAACAAATGTTAAACATCCAAACAGCGTGTTGATAATCAAACTCCCCCCTACCCCCCCCCTTAACAGCCGGCAGGTTAGCAAACACGCACACTGGCGTCCCCCGCTGATTGTTTGGCCGCGTCGACGGTAAAGTACAACTCATTTGATCCGAGGAAAAAAGGCACAAATCACGATTTTAATTAACAGCGGCGCTGCTTCCTCGCGGCGTCCCTACAGCAGCTGGGCAAACAGCTCTTTGGGGTAAACATGGCGTCCGGGACGTGTGTTTGTCCGCCCGGCGCCCTGCTGGGCTTTTAAACCAGCGCGCGCCGCTGCCTCGTGCAAACACCGGCCGGGGTTTACCACATTAGAGCAAACTAATCTTCAGGGCCATGTTCAGGAAATCTCTCTGCTTGTTGTGGAGAAAAGACGCCCCTCTCTCTCTCCGAACAGCTGTTCTGGATGTCTTATTATCCCCCCCGTCCCCCGAGCCGCCGGGGCATTTATTCCCCCGTCTTTTAGGGACAAAGTGACTCTTCTTTTTTTTGGCTTCTTACTTTTCCAGGACGCCACTGACAGAAACACTTTGTCTTCTCGGGGGAATCGCCTCACTTTCCCCCAGCGAGGCCGCGCGCCTCAGAGGACGAGAAGGTGTCCTCTCGAGTGCTTCCGGAGAAGCAGCGCCGGGGCCTCACCGGGGCCTCGCCGGGGCCCCCAACAGACCATTCACAGGACGCAGCAGCGGGGGACGAGAGCAGCTTCCTGGTTGCATGTGGACCAGCCGATGGAGCTGAACCACGATGGCCCTTGAGCTCGAGGTGGATTTAGAATTAATTGGCACGGTTGCTTTTGCTTTCTCTCCGGAGACAAAAACATAGATGTCTCCTCAAAATAAAAAAACGACAACTGTCCAACATATTGGAAAGGACGTTTATTCGCCGTCAAACAGGAATGAGAAGAGTCTCCGCCTCCTGTGTCCCGTACGGAGGTTGTCCATGAAACCTTTAGCCTAGCTTAGCACAGAGAATGCGAGCGCGGTGTACAACTGCTAGCTTAGCTTAATTGTAAAAGGAATCAACTTCCGACAGCTCCTCGTACAATAAACCAGTCCTTCATTTCAATGAGAAAGTGTGTCCAAACGTTTTGACTGTATCTCTCCAAGACCTGATCAATAATCCAACTTAAAGTTGGTCTCACGTAGCAGCAGCTGCTTAAACTCGTCACAACTTCATCGCCTCGCCGCAGAAGGAGAAGCCGCGGGAGAATTTAGAACCGCGACAAAAACTTTAGCACTTCAGAATCTTTAGAAAGTTGTCGCTATGTTGTGTTTCCTTAGATTGATCGCATGGATTTTGTTGCTGAGTAAATGTATGTTTTGAGAAACGCTGCTGTAGCGGCGCGGCGTTCCGCCGTGAGCAACGAATGCTGCACCTCTGCTTGCAAACACCTGTAACTCCTTTTTGTGTTTATTCAATTCCGTCTTGCAAAGCGGCTTAGAAGTTGAGCTCTGAAGGTCAAAAAAGTAAAAACAGAGTTGTCAGTTAGCGGCTCCGAGGGCGGCCCGACGTGTGCTTTCACAACAAAGACAACGACAAACGGAAAAGCACGACGATAACAACGCACGACAAAGGCTGGTGAGACACACGCAACATCGCCGTGCGTGTCTGAGTGACAGAAGAACAGAATATAAATGATATGTTCAACTTTAACAAGAAACAGCCAAAACAAATCCCATCCCTCTTGTCTCGTACGTGGTCTCATACAGACACAAACTGTAAATTAACGGTAACGTTTTGTTCTTTTTGTTTCTTCATAAATGTTTTTATTTTTATTTAAAGATTAAAGCTTTTTCGTGTCTTTTGGATACACTTGCAAATTTCTAAACTTAAACCTATTATTAAATTATTATTATTATATTAAATATATTTTATTTTGATGTTATTTATTTATATAACATATTGTTTTCGCATTTATTCATTTTGACCTGATTATATTCACTTATTAATATTTAATTTGACATTTTATTAAATTTAAACATATTTTTATTGTATTTTATTAATCTAGTCCCTATTTTACACAATTTTACCAACATTGCTTATTATTATAGCTTTTATTACATTTCCATCATATAATTTTCCTGTGTGTGTCGGACTCAAACCGTCAGGTTGTTAAATTGCTCGTTTGCTTTTGTCTTTTCTGTTGTTTCCTCGGTGCACACTTGTTCTCTCATATTTCCAGATGTGTCCATCATCTCTGTGAAGCACTTTGAAGAGCCGTAACGTGTACGAGAGGAGCTCTGCAAACAAAGTTTGACTGAGTGACTGATGTGTTCTTACTCGGCTTCGTCCTCCCCCGTCAAACTAACGCGGCGTAGAAAGAAGAAAAAAAAAACACCAAACCGGCTTGAAAAGTGGGTAAAAAGCCAAATGCTGATTTATGATTTTTAACACTTCCAGCATCTCTGTGTGTATGGTTTCATATGGAAATCCCTTTAGCACGGCGGGTAAATAGATTACGATACAGTGAGGGATTAGGGACCGCCTCGCCGCTGGCCCACTAATCCCAGCACAGACTGTCAACAGCCCTGACATGTCCGGGACTCCTTCTGCACAAAATGGCTCCTCGGCTGTTTAAGAAGCCAATCTGGAGACGCACACACCCTCCTCCACCACCACCACCACCACCACCACCAACATGAATATTCCTATCAGGGCTGTCAGCGACGGCAGAGACAATGACGTTCGTCTTCAAAGGGGGAGATTAGATGCTTTGCGCGAGACAAAACGAGACTCTTTGAAGTGATTCCGGTTCACATTCCTGCAACTTTTTGGGCCGTGCTCCGAGAAAAGAAAGACGTTTTTTTTTTTTTGTTGCAAATCTTCTGTCAGACTTTTAGATTGCGAAGCGTGAGAGCGCCTGAGAAACTGCAGCGCTCGAGTCCCGTTGACTGTGACTGTTACAGTTTCTCATTCTGAGCTTTCATTTATCAAAAGTTATTTGCAGCCAGAATCATTGTTGAAAGTATTTTGCATTCATTAAATATGAAACCAGACTGGAATAAATTGGCCTGAATGTTGGACAACGATAGATCAAAGTTTTGCTTGGTGTAGTTTTTTTGATATGTGATTGGTGGTAAAATGTACGTCATTCATGTATGATTTTGCTGTTGTGTAATGAACTATAATTAACAAATCACAAAACTAATAGTTTGCATCCTCCTGTTGATGGTTCTAAATAAATAAAAAGTAATGTTAAATAAATTAAAAAAAATTCCCCCGTGGCCACATATTGTTGCTGGGGGGCCGGATTTGGGCCGCGAGCCACTGCTTGACTCCAGCTAGTTTCAAAACAAACCTAATCTCACTATTTTGTGTTCAGAGTGTATTTAAAGTGCAATAGTTCTTTTTACTCTACTGCGTTTATCTATAGTGTACTTTGGTGTTGGTAGAATTGAATGCAGTACTTCTAATTGTAATTGTAGCATTGTGATGCTACTTATACTCACTTAGAGGACGAGTGTACTGTATGTGATGTATTTAATACACCTGTGAATATTGACTGTCTTCTTCCTTCAGCCATCTTCTGCAGCCTCTTGGCGAAAGGTGGAAATCAGCCAGTTAATTGTGTTCGTTATTTAGATGGACGACTCTGATCAGCTGATATCTGATGCTGATAAAACATCAGTGACCCCCGAGTCTGTTTCCTGTTTCTCAGGCTCTTTCAAACTAAAGGTCCCTCTCACCGGGCCCTGCAGAACCTGCAGAACCTGCATCCTGTGCATCTTGTTTTCGGGGCTCCTGCGTTTGATGTCCGTTGCTTGCCGAGTGCCTCTCCCTTCTGAGGCCGGAGCGGGGGCCTCCCCTTGAAACAAACGGCGAGGGGGAATCTCTTTGTCGGGGCGATGCCTAAGCCTAATCTAATGATTCAGATGACTGG